GACATACGTGGCAGCACCTCCCTGAATTAAGTCAACAGAAAGAAGAGTTGTTAACAGAACAAAACTATAAGAACAAACTCAGAGAATCTGGGAGGTCAGTCAGTGATCAAAACAAGTACAATGTAAAAGAAGGTAAACACGTAGGAACAGAGATCCAGATAGTGAGAAGGTCAGGTCGATTACAGGATAAAATAGACTGCACTCAATGGACAGAAAAGTTATGGACTATGAGGCAACCTCAAAGAAAATTATCACTTCACAACATACCAAGAGAATGAAAATCCAAGAAGAACATGAAAACATTAAAACTATAAAGAAACCCACAAGACAGAATATAAAAATCATGAACTCAACAAAGGAAGACAAACAGAACAAAGAAGCAGCAACACCACAAAAAAACAAACATAATGGCAGCAATTAAACAATACCTATCAACAATTACATTGAATGTAAATGGATTAAATGTACCTGTTAAGAGAAGGAGGGTGGCAGAATGGATAAGAAAACAAGATCCTTCAATATGCTGTCTGCAACAGATAAATCTCACACACAGAGACCAAAACAGATTAAAAGTCAAAGGATGGAAAAAAATATGCCAAGCTAATTGCAATAAAAAGCGAACAGGAGTGGCAGTACTAATCTCTGATAAAATAAACTTTAGGCAAAAAACAGCATAACAGATAAAAATGGACATTATCTCATGATTAAAGGGACAATTGAACAAGATGAAATAACCATAATAAATATCTATGCTCCCAATGAAAGAGCTCCAAAATATATAAAACAATACAAAAGTAAAGAAAATTAGAACAAAGGAAAACCGACAAAGTGTATTGTCCACATTTGCTCCAAGGTTCCCATGGTGTTTTTCCATGGTGTGTCTTCTCCCCTGCTTGTTCTTTCTATTTGGTCTCGCCCAAGATGTTGGCTCCAGGCTTCCAAGCCCAGCAGATTCAAAAGTACGCAATTTCTTCCTTTAGTTTCAAGTTCCAATAGCTATAAGTCTTCAAACTTCTAAAATATTCCTAGCTCTGTGGTTCCGAGTTTTGGAGCTCTGCCCAGGATCTGCTTTGCCTGGTATTCTGTGGTATGGCTAATGGCGAACTTCAATGCACCTCCACCCTAGCTGCCATCAAGCCCCGCCTCCCCTCGTACTGATCTAATGACAGCCTTTTGGTCTATGTACAGGTTCTTCATGAGAATCAATGTCATGCAGTCTTTCTCAATGACCCTACCTCCAACAATAGGATCCATAGGATGAAGAAGTCCCAATGTTGTTGTTCCATCTGGCTTTCTTCTTTCAAATTCACACTGCAATGATCCAAAGTATTTGAATGGACTAAATATCTTATATATATCACAATATCTATAGCACACTAGAAAGTTTTACTTGAATTAAACTATTATTGTATCATCAAAATTAAATTCAAACATTAAACTGCAACCCTGTTTCCATGTATGCAGGTAATAATGATAGGTAAAAGAAATGGCAGGTTTAAAAAATCTCAAAACTTTAAAAGAATTATGTCGTTGTTAAGTGCCATCAAGTTGGCTTTGACTCCTAGAGACCCTTCATAGGGTTTCCAAGGAGCGGCTGGTGGGCTTGAACTGCCAACCTTGTGGTAAGCAGTTCAGCGACAATCCTACAATGTCAACTGAGGGCTATGTCTGTTCTTAATGCCATCTCATTTTGCCTGTTCTATCAATAAAGGAGGATATTGCAGCCCTGAGAAAAGGACCATGCCCAAAGTCAATTATTAATCCACTTGGTTTAAAAACCAAGATGTTAAGTAATGTGATTTCAAAAACTGGAGTATAAATGTTTTCTTTTAAGTTTACAGTATATGGTTCATATCCCAATTTAGAACATGAACTTCAGTTTTAAAAAAAATAGAGTAATACAAGAGGGTCTTCAAAAAGTTTGTGTATAAATTAAATCTAAAAAAATGGAATTTTTCCATGAACTTTTTGAAGCCCCCTCATAGATATAAGATTAATCATGTCCTTTACAAATAAATACATTACTAATCTTTCTTCACTAGCATTTTACTGATGAAAAATGCCATGGTAGGCATGGATTAGAAAAACAATGAATGAACGTCCATAAACAAATTATAAACTAAGAGTTCCACATTATCTGAATTTAGAGCTAACAGAGGTGAAGGTCAGTAGGAGTGAAAGAAAACAATGAGTCACCTGACTATTAGCAAGCCTCCTGGTCAGCTTTCCTCCAGATTCCTTAACAATTCGGTCAATCTGCTCCTGTTCTCTTTCTAAGTTACTGGTTTTATATTTATCTTCAATCATATCTTTGTCTTTCCTGAAAGCACATAAGTAGTAAAAGAAAAATAATAAGATCAAAATGTTTAAGTGAATTATAGATATGAAGGTAGTAAAAGTGGAGACATCTGTACTACTGTCACCAACTAAAGCTGTTTCTTAATGGTATGGTAAGGGGCTCCTGCGAATGTATAAACAGAAAGGCAAACCAAATACATTACTTTGTCCCTTCTCCCTTCTTGTTTTACCCAGTTTTATTTGCCTTAATATTTGGGGGGGGGTACATCCATAAAAGTGAGTTCTGCCTCTAACATGCAAAGGGGCTTCAAACAATTTATGGAAGAATTCCATTATCTTTTAATTCCATTTTTCCACAAACTTTTTGTGCCCCCTCATGGAAGAGGGGGCATTCTCCCCCACCCCCACCAATTTATAAAGTCTTAGGAACAGAAGAAACTTGCTGTCACACAAAAAGATTTATAATGGTTTTGTTACTTTGTAAAAGTAAATTATGACTGCAGGAATCTCAAACTGCTAATGAATCCCCTTTCCCAAAATTGATAGTTCAGTGCTCAATAGTCAAGGCTGGTAGTGTAGTGGAGGGTACATGACTGTCTCCACTCAAACTAGCTGCTGCCTGGTTCATCATTACCAGTAGGAAACATGCACACATTGCAGGGGCAGACCATCTTTCAGGAAGCACCTAAAACTCTGCTTATGTTTACCTACTACCTCAATTCCTTATGTAACATGAGGTAAAGAACTAAACATTTTTACTTCAACAAATATTTGTATTTAATAAACTCACCAGACAGTTTATTAGTCTTAACACTACTTAGTAAGTATACCCAGAATTGTTTTCTGAACTATATAAACAATTTTATACAGTGCTTTGCCAAAAAACCACTGCTAACAGACTAGGATGTGGTCTTCCTCAGTCAGGCCTGAATCTTGCTATCTTGAGAAAGATAGTGCAATCTGAATACATCCAAGATTTTTACTTTTTGTTTTCCTTGTTGGGACTTTTGAAGGCCTGGGCCTCAGCAGCTCCGGAGTCTTCCTTCTCCCTTGGCCAACAGCTGCTGTCCTCCCCACTTTGTGAGGTATCTGTTTGATCTTTCTGCTTTCGAGTTTTCTGCAAGTCAGCCATAAATTCTATGCTCTGCTTCAGACTCTGAATTCTTTCCTAAGAATATTGAAGAGTATTTTTATTGTATGTTTGTCATTAACTTCTAAAGTATTTGTACTCCCTCCACCCACAAGACAGTCTGCATTTATCCTTGCATTAACTAGAGAAGAAAACAATGAAATTTAATCACATCCAGATGGTATTACATTTAGAAACCAGGACAATACAATTTATTCCTTCAATTCAGATCATTTCCAATTTAAGAGAATGCTTTAACACAGAGAAGGGGAAGTATAAATTAAGACTATTATTCTTTGAAGTACTGAATTTAAAAAATAAAATTCAGTTTAATGTTGTTGTTTAGTGCCGTCAAGTCAGTTCCGACCCATAGCAACCCTGAACATGGCTTCCGAGAATGTAAATCATTATGGGAGCAGAAAGCCTCCTCTTTTTACCATGGAGCAGCTGGTAGTTTCGAACTGCTGACCTTGCGGTTCACAGCCTGATTCGTAACCACTATGCAACCAGAGCTCCTTTTATAGTACATTAAAATTTAATAATTGTCAGACTGATATTTATTGAAATTTATGAATTGCTGAGTATAAACCCTAAAGCATGTGACCATGTGAAGTATCTATCCTTATATTCTGTAATCCTGAATACTGCCACATTTCTTTATGTGAAAACAACATGTTTTGAACATAAAAAACTGCTAGCACAGTACTCTCCTCAGACACCATAATGTTCTGACTAGCTAAAAAACTCTTATTTCTGTTTTGTGAAACATATGCTCAGTTTTGCACTTCAATGATATGCTGTGAAATTTTCAACATAGTTAAGTACTTGGGGTTTCTGGATCAATTTTAAAGAATGAGATTTATTCCTACTGACTACTCTAACATTTACTTCTGAAAAAAGGTAAAATATGGAGAGCACTGTAGTCTCCTTAGGGCTAACACAGCAACAGCAGAGAAGAAAGATTTTACAGAATAAGAAAAACTAAGAGCTGGAAAGGACCATCCATTCAAATAAGAACATGTAGCCCACAAATGCTAGATGACTCAACTAAGGTTAGAAAACCAGTGACTAAGACTAGGCCTTTCCTGTCTCTCATGACAAGTCTCTTGTGTCTCATTATGCTAAGCTATGTCAACAGCACAGTCTTTACATTATGAGAGCCTCCAGAAAGGCTGTACCTGCTATTTTAGTTTGAATATTAACATTTTTTTAAGTAATTTCTTTTATTGAAACAAAAGTATAGGTTAAAAAAAATCATAACATCCTTAACATCTGGAGAGGAAACATTAATAAGATTTAATATTTTAGCATTTTTCTAAACAGTAAACATATTAGCAAATTGGAATTATACAGATTATTTGTTAAGCATATCCCTTCTGTATCATTGCTCTTTAAAGCCCTTTTAGAAATTGTACTAAATCTGTATTTTATCCCAGGTATATACCATTATTTCATTTACATCCTACTGTTGGACATTTAAGGAGCCCTGGTAGCATTAACCACAAGGTTGAAGGTTCAGACACTCACAGTAGAAAGACTGGCTGCTCCTCTAAAGATTTATAGTCTCAGAAACCTTAAGAAACAGTTCCACTCTGTTCTACAAAGGCTGTAAATCAGAATCAATTGATGGCAATAGGTTTAGACCATTTCTAGTTTCCAACAATGGTGACTCTCATAAACATTATGGTAAATATAAATATATGGCTCTAGAAATTTCTGATTACCTCTTTATGATAAATTCTTAGAAGTCTAAACACTAGATGAAAGAGAATAAATATTTCTAAGGCTTCTGATACATACTGCCTTCCAGAAAGGGTTGTTTATATCAGTGTTTGAAAGTTTCATCAATGTTTGAAAATTTTCTATGAATTTTGATCAAACTGAATGTTAAGTGACACTGAGTCAATTCCAACTCATAGTGATTCTGTATAGGGTTTCTGAGGAGCAACTGGTGGGTTTGAACCACTGGCCTCACAGTTAGAAGTCAAGTGCTTATCCTACAGCACCAATTTAATAGTATCATTAAAATTTTTAAAAAAATTTAAAATGGGCTATTTTATTTTTAAAACATTTTACCATGTCCTTAAAAATATAAATGAGTTAGACTGTTCTTTTTAAGTGCCACTGAGTCAATTCTGACTGATAGCAACCCTGTACAGGGTTCCCAACTGTAGGGATCCAATGCTTATTCTATAGTGCCACACCCGGACTTATTTACTGTAGCACATTGTTCCTTTTTCCTCTACAAATTTTACCAAAAATGGGTAACTGGATTACATTATTTGTTGTTGTTTGTTGTTATTAAGTGATGCCAAGTCAGTTATGACTCATAGAGACCCTATATGAGCACTTGGTGAGTTTGAACTAGTGACTTTCTAGTTCGCAGTCCAGTGCTGATTCTACAGCACCACACCAGGTCTTGGGAAAAGGGTGGTAACTGATAATGTATAAATATTAGGAGCATAAGTATCATCATTAATCCAAATGTTTTTCTTTCCCCATTTAAGCAGATGCAACAATCTTTTAAAACTCAAGCACAGACACTAGCACATCTGCAGATCCAGACATGTCTTTAAATGCAGAACTGTGATACAGATGATCACCATTAAAAATAAATAAATAAATCACTGAATTGGAAAATCATATGCAACTAAACATGACTCATTTCTACTATCCTGTAACTCTTCTGGGTCTTAGCTCAAGCTCTTAATCTCATTCCTTTTTCCTCCATGTCTGAGACCCACTCATTTATTTTCCTTTGCAAAAATTCCTCTAATTTTGCAGTCTTTTAAAATAATTTCTTCCCTAGGCTAGATTTTTTTCTAGAATCAGAACATTCCTACTAGAAGTTCTCTTGGAGATCACAGATTGAACCCTTTTTCTTCTTTACAAATGAGAATACTGAGGCCTGAGATGATTACTGTCTTATCTAAGACCCTAAATTAGTGGAAGAAACTTAAAACTAGAACTCAAGTCACCTGACTTTCTGCCAGGGCATAAGGATTACCCTCAATTAGTTCATCTACATGAAAGTCTCTTACTAATGTGGTTCATCATACTCAAAATATATTTTAAAAATCTCAAAAAAAATAGTACTTGTCTTATGAATTATTCTTTTTTCTCAGCAGATGCAATGATCATCTCAGTTTACCTTTTATGGTCTTTCATGAGCTGCCACTCTGGGACAACAACTCAGTATTTTTTGTCACTATCACAGTAGTGTTTTGTATTTCGCTCTCTCATACCATTTGGTGATGTTGTGTCAAGGACTCTGTACACATTTCTCCTACTTTGAATACTTTACCATGCACCAATTCTTGTCCTTTAAGGAAGATTATGCTCTTATAAAGCAGTTACTTTAAGACAGTCCTAAATTGTTTATCACTTGTGTATTTTGTATATCTAATAAAAGCAATTCCCATGCTTCACCAAGAAACTATTGTTGTTAAGTACCATCGAGTCGATTCCAACTCACAAAGACCCTTTATAGGGTTCTCAAAGAGTGCCTGGAACGTTTGAACCACTGACCTTATAGTTCAAACCAATCTTACAGTCCAGGGCTTTATCTCACAGTGCCACACCCAAAACCTTAGATTCCATCATTACAAAGTGATACACAAAGCTTTTATCATAAAAAGGTCTCCGAATTCATTTAACCTTTTGTGGAATTCAAGGTTGATGTTTCTTCTATAGAATTTTGCTGCCCAGAGCAAAAATAAGTTTACTGGTTAAACATCGATTTTAAAGCCTCTAAAGAAATTATTACAAGTGAATGTATCTAACTGCATCAATGCCAAATGAGAATCTCCCTGTCTTACTTATCTTCTTTATTAAAAGGTTTTCATTTGTATTTTTTATGATAATATCATCAATTATTATAATACAAGTAGTATAATAGATATGTATCTTTATGAACAAAAAACATAGCAATATAGTTATTTCATCATAACTATAATCTATGACAAAGAGTTTCTTTTACCTGGCTAAGAATTTTCATCCCAGAGTGTAATAACTTCTTTGCAGCTTTATAATAAATGGTTTCTGGCTTGTTGTAAACCATGGCATTAGTACACATTAGTTTGAAATTTTCCTGTAGAGAGAATATTAAGAAGAAAAATGCATTAAAACAAAACCGTGTTAACGCTTTCTCCAAATTTTAAAGCATACAGATCTTCTAAAACATAAACAGATCTTTGTTCCACTAAGCAATACAAATTAACTTAAGAATTTTAAAAAGTTTTAAGATTCACCAATGAAACAAATATTTTTCATTTATATGTTACATATACAAATGAAACTTTTAAATGAGTTTCTTCAATATAACTTTGCTGCACACACAGGAATTAGAAAACAGCTCTGGATGTGTAGTGGTTACGAGTCAGACTGCCAAGTTCAAGGTGAACAATCTGAAACCACAAGCTTTTCCAAGGGAAAAAGATGAGGCTTTCTGCTTATACAAAGATTTACAGCCTTAGAAACCCTTTACAGAGTTGCTATGAGTCAGAACCGACTCCACGGCACACCACCACCACCAGTTTACACTTAGTAATTTTAGCTCAGTAGTTAATGTAATTTAAAAATTGCTCTTTTAGATTAAAACAAGCATTCCCATTTTGGAATAAAATATTTTATTTCAGATCTTTACTGAAAAACACAAAGTGCTAAATTATCAGAATATTTCATGCCAAATTAAAAATAATTGAACAAAAATGTTAAAATATTTACAGTTATTTTCTTTTTTAAGGTGTGAATACAATAATAAGTTCAACATAATGGGCAGAATGTTACAAAATTATGCTATCTCTTGAAATGGTTGAACATCAACCATTTCTTTTTGGTACATCGACTTTGTGTACTCGTTTCATCTCCTTTTGATGCTTTCTGCATCATTCAATATTTTGCCCACAGAATTCTTCAATAATTCAAGTTGAAGCCTGAATTTTTTCTTTAAGTTCCCTCAACTTGGAAAATGTCGAGTGTGTTCTTCCCTTTTGGTTTTCTAATTCCAGATCTTTGCACACTTCATTATTATATTTGACTTTGTCTTTTTGAACTGTTCTTTGAAATTTTCTATTCAGCTCTTTTACCTTCTAATTCCTTCTATTTGCTTTAACATCTCTATGCTGGAAAACAAGTTTCAGAGTTCCTGACATCCATTTTGGTCTTTTTCTTCTTTCTTGTCTTCCTAATGACCCTTTGCATTCTTCGTGTATGATGTTTTTGCTGTCATCCCACAACTCTCTGGTCTTAGGTCATTAGTGTCTAATTCATATATGTTCCTTAGATAATCTCTACATTCATGTGGAATATGTTCAAGGTCATATTTTGGCTATTGTGGACTTGTTTTAATTTTCTTCAGCTTCAGCCTCAACTTGCACATGAGCAATTGATGATCTGTTCCACAGTCTGCCCCCGGTCTTGTTTTGACTGATGATATGGAGCTTTACCATCTTTTCACAGATGTAGTCAATTTTGATTTCTGTGTATTCCATCTGGTGAGATCCATTTGTATACTTTTCTTGTACTTTGTTTAAAAAAGGCATTTACAGCGAACAAATCACTTGTCTTGCAAACTTCTATCATGTGATATTCACAATCATTTCTATCACCAAGGTCATATTTTCCAATGAATGATCCTTCCCTTTTTTTTGAAATTTGCATTCCAAGCTCCAGTAATTATCAATTCAGATGAGCTTCCAGACTAAGACAGAGTAGAAAGAAGGAGAAGTGGACTATTGCCAAATATTTAGTCACTGAAAACCTTATGAACAGCAGTGGCACCTTGTCAGAAGGTACCAGAACATTGAATGTTTGAACATGGTGAAGAGCACCAGAATATTGTCAGATAGAGTGCTGGAAAATGAGACCCTCAGGTTGGAAGGCATTTAGAATATAACTGGGCAAAAAGCTGCCTCCTTAAAACAGTTGACTGTAATGATGCAGATGGAGTAAAGCTTTTGGGGCCTTCATTTGCTAATTGTGCATAACTCAAAATGAGGTAAACATCCATTAATAATCAGAATATGGAATGTACAAAATATGAATCTCGGAAAGTTGTTGTCAAAATGAAATGGAACGCATAAAGATCTCTATCCTAGGTATTAGTGAGTTGAAAGGAACTGGTATTGACCATTTTGAAGCTGACATCCACATGGTTTACTACTATGCTGGGATTGACAAATTGAAGAGGAATGGTCTTATAGTCATCAACAAAAAGAACACCTGAAGATTTATCTTGAAGAACAACGCTGTCTGTGATAAAGTGCCTTCAAGGAAGACCAGTTAATACAATTACTATTCAAATTTACACACCAACTACTAAAGCCAATGATGATGAAATTGAAAAATTATACCCAGTGTGGCACTGTTTGAAAATGCACTGGACCACAAGGTTGATTTGAACTTCAAGGTCGGCAGTTCAGATTCACCAGATTTCGTAAGAGACCCTATACGGGATTGCTGAGTCAGTTCCAACTTAACACTTATAGACAACAACAGTCAACATTTTGAGTCTGAAATTATGAAAACACTGACAAGAAAAAAAACACACAAAAATGAACTCAGCACAGGAAAGCATACAGAACAAAGAAACCAGCAGCACCACATAAAACAAAGACCATAATGAGAGCCATTAACCCATACTATCTTTAGAGACAGCATATTAGAAAGATACTGTTTTCTTATCTATCTGCTATTCTCTGTCTTTTAATTGGTGCATGTAAGTACAATCTCTGTAATTATTGTGTGGTGCTATGGGTTAATGCGCCAGACTGCACAGCCATTTGAACTGTAAGGTTGGCAGTTCAAGTTCACCAGTCACTCCTCGGAAACCCTATACAAGTATCACTATGGGTTAGAACTGACTCGATTGCACTTAAAAACAACGACAATGTAATGACTGACAGACAGGGCAACACCACCCGGAAGTCAGTCAACAGATACGGGAGTCCAGAACAGAAAAGAACTACATGATCTTATCAATTGATGCAGAAAAGGCATTTGACAAATCCAACCTCCGTTTCTGATAAAAAAACACTCAATATAGTAGGAACTGTAGGGAAATTCCTCAACATAATTAAGAGCATATATATAAAACCAACAGCCGATATCACTCCCAATGGAGAGAAATGGAAAGACTTCCCTTTGCGAACAGGAACCACACATGGATTCACCTTGTCACCACTCTTATTCAATATTGTGTTGGAAGTCTTAACTAGAGCTACACAGCAAGACAGGCATTCAAATTGGCAAAGAGGAAGTAAAATCCACTCTATTTTCAGATGAATGATCCTATACATAGAAAACCCCAAAGATTCAGTAAAAAAGCTACTAGATCTCACTGGAAAATTGAGCAATGTGGCAGGGTATGAGGTCAACATATAAAAATCAGTTGGATTCCTCTATACTAATAATGACAGCAACTAAAAGGACATTAGGAAAGCAATACCATTTACAATAGTGTCCCAAGGATAAAATATCTAGGAATAAATGTAACCAGAGGACCTAGACAAAAAAAACTACAAAACACTACTACAAGAGAGTGCTGCCAACACCCTGGTGGAGAAGCTGAGATCAACACTGAATTTGAAATATTTAAAGTGTATAAAAACTATTTCTGCAATGCAGACAATTAAGTGTGTTGTCATGGGTGATGGTGCCGTTGGTAAAACATGTCTCCTGACATCCTACACAACAAACAAATTTCCATCTGAATATGTACCAACTGTTTTTGACAACTATGCAGTCACAGTTATGACTGGTGGAGAGCCATATACTCTGGGACTTTTTGATACTGCAGGGCAAGAGGACTATGACAGATTACGACCGCTGAGTTATCCACAAACAGGTGTATTTCTAGTTTGTTTTCCAGTCATCTCTCCTTCCTCATTTGAAAATGTGAAAGAAAAGTAGGTACCAGAGATAACTCACCACTGTCCAAAGACCCCCTTCCTGCTTGTTGGGACCCAAATTGATCTCAGAGATGACCCCTCTACTACTGAGAAACTTGCCAAGAACAAACAGAAGCCAATCATTCCAGAGACTGCTGAAAAGCTGGCCCGTGACCTGAAGGCTGTCAAATATGTGAAGTGTTCTGCACTCACACAGCAATATTGGCTGCCCCTGGAGCCTCTAGAACCAAAGAAGAGCTGCAGGTGTGTGCTGCTATGAACATCTCGCCAGAGCCCTTTCTGCACAGCTGGTATCGGCATCATACTAAAAGCAATGTTTAAATCAAACTAAAGATTAAAAATTAAAATTCATTTTTGCAATAATGACAAATGCCCTGCACCTACCCATATGCACTCGTGAGAGACAGCCCATAGGTATGGCCCCTTCTTCCCCCTCCCAGTACTAGTGAATTTTGAGGAATTGTGTATTGTCAGAAAAGTGATCAGTACTAGTTTTTGTTTTATTGTTTCCCAAAAGAGAGAGAGGGGAAAAAAAAAAAAAAGGCAAGGCATGCTTGTTGACAACTCTGTAACAGACTAATTCCAACTGTTGAAGCTGCTCCCTGGTTCCACCTTGGAGACTAATCTGGGGCATCTTAGTGTTCTGGTTTTTATCTTTTTTGGGGGGAATGACTCATTTTATTTCATCTTGGTTTTGTTTCCTAATTCATTAACCAGTGGCCAGCCCTTGAGGAGAGGAGGATGGGATTGATTTCACATTCCAATGAATGAAGTTAGAACCCATGTCCCCACCTGGTGCTCTTCGGAAGGAGTACAGTGGATGTCTTGTGTAGTAACATACTCCTTGTTGAAAGTTGCCTTTCTCTCCATCCTTGAGTAGGTTCAGTATTTGATAAAACTCATGAAAGTGGGTGGAGCCTGTCTTGCCCCTCCTCTTTTCTAGGATGCACTATGTATCTGACTGTGACTTTCAAGGAAATTTGTTTGCCATTTGCAGAATTTTTTTTTTTTTTGAAGTTAATTTTTAACTTCTTTTATTGAAAAATGAAGAAAAGTATTTGCACCTTTTGAAATACACCAAATGAACTGAGTTCATAATTAAAAAAAAAATTTTTCCCTGTTAGTGATTGTCTAACATGCTTAGCTTAGATGTGCAGTTTAATAGTGTAAGATACCGTGT